CCCCTACTCCCCTTCCCCGTTGGTTCTCGACCAGGTGCGGATTAGATCCTTGATTCTTTTTTAATTCTTTCTTTGCCTTCGCACACACCCCCATCCGGTTCAGCGTGACCACGAGGCTATGCTATGCTAGCTTCGTAAATCACCCGACGGGAGCTGGAACTGTTTTTGATTTGACCTACTATCTGGCCGGCTTCGACTCCGCATTGACATCCTGGTCACTTTACACCACACACACACGCTCTCACACACAACTGCACTATTCCTTCACACGCGTACACACACTTATCCTCTTACACTCACATCCATTCTGTCCTCCCGTACATACTGGTGCTGTGACTGTTGTTCTTCTTACGTACTTACATACTGCTTACTGCCATTACTTACATACATACCGTCCTGGCAGTCCTCTTTCCAGTCTTACATACATACAACCTGCCCATACATACATACGACAGCCACTACCACAGTTCACACCCCCCTCCTCCACTTCTGAAGGAAGAACACCCCTGCTGCCTGCTTATCCTTGGCCAAAACGACCCGCGGGACGTGACTGTCGACTCACATCATCCTGCATTTGTCCTCTCGTCTCCCCCCATCCTCGTTCCGTCGTTTTAAAGCAACAGTCCTCGCTCACTCGTCTTTACAAATGTCCACCAACCCCCACGATCTCAGCGACCCTAATCGACAGGGTCAGTATCCACCACCTCAGTGGAACACTAGTCAACCCGAGGACAACCCTCCGGCGCACTATCCGCCAGCTTCTCAATACCCGGTATGTCTAGTCTTGTTTGATAATAGCGGTTCTATGAATGTTTTGGGGAAGGAGGAAGGCCGGTGGTGGGGATGCTGTTCGTTGCGGCCTTCGCTTTGCCTATCTTTCCACCACTCGATCTCCGGGTCTTTCCCTCTCCTGTCACTCGATCTTCCAGTCCTAGGAGACTTCCATTGAGTCATTGCCCCTTCACCCAATCCCTACTAACAATGATTCCTTCGCTGCAGTATCCTCCGGCTTCCTACCCTCCTCCGTCGGCCGATCACCAATATCCGCATCCCCCGCCGCAGTATCCAAACATGGCTGCTATCCATCCCCACGTTCAGGGCCCGCAAGACCCATACCGTCTTCCTCCTCCGCCTTCTGGTCCCTATCGCCCAGACGTCTATGCACAGCCGCCCCCACCACAACCTCAGGTAGTCTATCAAGCTGCCGCCCCGCGTCAGCGGACTGCCATTGCTTGCCGTTACTGTCGGAGACGGAAGGTATGTTCATTGGGGAAATTACCGGTTTTACTTTCCGACAGTGTGGGCTAACACGAATTCTGCGGGATTTGTAGATTCGTTGTTCGGGATTTGAAAGCTCTCAAGATGGGCGCTGTAGCAACTGTATCCGGTTCAACCAAGAGTGCATGTTTACCCCTGTCTCATCGCAGGCGCAAGCCTTCGTCCCCGCCCATGCTGCGTATCCACACCTGCGCAATCCGCAAAACCAGAGAGCTGGCGGCCCTCCCGTCATGCTATATGGAGCGCATGGTCAGCCGCTCCCGCCTCAACAGCAACCTCAAGCCGACCCGACTCTTCCACCACCTCAAGGAATGTACAACTATCCGGGTGCCGCTCCCCCCCTTGCATCAACCAATGCGCCGGAGCACGTGAGTCACCAAGTCCCTCTGTTTGTTAGTTTATGTTACAATCAGGACTGATCATCATCGATTCGCAGAGAACTGGTGGCCGTCGAGGCTCTGGCTCTGGTTACGACTATCCCGATCCTACAAACTTGGCTCCGGTAATACCTTCAACCTCAGCATCAGGATACCAAACGCACAATGCCCCCAGTCCCTACTACCCCCCTCCGCAGCATGATCGCCGCTCTTCTCCACAAAGTTACCCCTACGATGGCCGCCATACGTCTTCGCCCCACGGTTCGCCCTACCCTCCCATGCATTCTGCTCAGGGCGCAATGACCCCTCCGCCCACTTCCACGCCGGGTGGTTCGACTCGTGGAGGACTCAATGTGCGTGACATGCTGAACCCAGGCGACAGCCAGGGTCGCTCCAGCACCGATAGTGATATGCTTAATGCATTGAACCGTCGGGGTCTGAACCAATAAACATCTGCCCCGACAATCTAAGTGCGCATGTGATCACGTACTGGAAGAGTCACATGCAAAACTTGTTGCCGCGTGGAGGAGAGAGTCGAGGGTGGAAGTTGGGGCGGAAATTGTCGCTTGTGTTGGTTATTGATGGATGCGCCAGGTTCGTGTGCTGGTCACACATTCTTCCACATGGCACGGCCAACGGCTTGTTACCCCGTGCGCTGATTCGGTAGCGGCCTTCATTACTGTTTCTTAGGCGGGTGACGAGACGAGAAGTATGACGCAAGAAAAGAAAAGCAACGACATGTGCAATCTGTGAACAAACTCTTCTTTCTGATTGACGCTATGGATAACGATGATGCTGCACGAAATCGTGACCTCGGATTGCCGGTGATCCTTCTCAACAAACAGTCCGCCTCGGATTTGAAGGAAGCAGAGGCGGTGAAACAACGCCGTTTGCGCAACATGGGAGTGATTTGCAGTGATGATTACTCTTAACAACCATTTGCTCCGACGACGAGGCCATGGAAACGAGACGCAAGAGTTTTATGAGCTGCATGATTTGACTACGAGAATGTCTGTCTTTGGTTGATTATCATGTGCGGTAGACGGCATGTGCGTTTTGTCAATATTGCGGCTCAAGTCGACTCGTGCTGTGCCTTCACAGTCAAAACCTCGCACATATTTCTTCGCCATGCCATTATTTTCTATCCAAGACAAACCCACGGCTTTATACAGTACTCAGGGTAAACTATTAATGATTTTTCCATTATCAGCTTTACGAGTTCCATTCGTATACGGGTGCAATTTGATGCCCCTTGCATTTACGAAATACTCGCGCTTTGCAAGTCGGTTGCTCTGGAAAGAGGTTACGGAGTGGTATGATATCATCAGTTCGACAATATGTGAACTGATGTGGCAGATGCCAATCGCGGGTTTCCTGTGCCCATTTTTCTTGCTTACCACTCGTGTTTGTCCATGGCCAGAAAGAAGATTCCGATGCCTTTCATTCGCCATCCATCACACTACGATCCGACTTCAAAATGCGGATTTCTGCTCGCTTGTCCTTCGACTTCTTTTCCCGGCGCATGAGTGATGAATTTATTTCAGCCGTGGTGTCTGTCTCATTTTCTGTGTCGATTCAAATTGTCCCATTATCTATCTTATCGACGCGTCTCTGTTTTCTTTTCCTCTCTTTTCTTTTTCGGGTGGCTATCTGATGATGCGCTTTTTTTTTATGGTCGACATCTGCTTGGTTGGCTTGCAATCGTGTTACTTCCACTGTTTGTCTCACCCGGAAGTTCATATCGCGCTAAAAAGGAGGCTCTATGTTTTTTGCTTGGTTGTAGCTTATCATCGCCGCATTGGTTTCCTTTACTTTTGTTCCTTTCCTTTTCTATATCACTTGGGAGGCTGTCTGATCAACATTTTATCCGACTTTATGAATTCGCAATCATGCGTGCCTTGAATTTTCAGTGCATGTTCCATTCGATCCAGCATTTGTGCATCTTGTTTATTTCCCCTTTCTTCGAGTTCTCCGTTCCCAGATGCTTATGCCTATTTATTTACCTCTATTCATCGATCTATGGTTCTGGTACTACGGATACTTTTCTTTCGTTAGATTCTGGAATGGATAAATTCTCTATTCTTTACTGCCGTGGTGGCTGCTGTATCGAGTAATGAGTTTTTTATTGTCCGTGCTCAGTGGAAGTAATGTTTCAGTGGCTGTGAGAACGGGTCTGAGAGCGATGCGCAGGTAAGTGAACATTAGCCGAAAATTCAGATACGCTTTGAAGAGTAGGAGCAGTCGTAGGTCAGGTTCGAGGCCAGCAGAAGCTTTTTGCCTATACAGCTGGACATGGCAAATCCCCCCCCCCCCCCCAAATTCTGATCTCTCTCTCGTGACTTCCTCCCCTGGACTTATCTCTTCTGGCCGCAGCTGCCTGCCCCAGACTACCTTCATCTAATTTATACACGGACAACAACCATCCCCGTACCCGAACTTCCACTTGGGTATTGTACCTCCTGCCTGTCTGCCTGCCTGCCTGCTCAACCCGGCAACGGGTGTACTGGAAAATTACTTGTTCACATGTTAATATCCTCCCGTCAGAATATCGGCCCTTCCCCGCGTGCTTCCCTACCCGCCGTCACCACTTCCCAGTTTCTTTTCAGCTTAGCTTTCCTTCGACTTGGACTTTGACTTTGTGCAGCATGGGGAAGGGGATTCTGTTCTTTCCGTGGGGGCGGGGGTATAACTAACTGTCTTAGCTAGCTAGCTAGCTAGAAAGAGGGGAAGAAGTCTGGCGAACGCGGTATGGGATCGCTCGGCTTGAGGCTGCAGTTGGTGGGGGTGGAATGGTGGTTGAGATAGTGCAGGGTGCATGGGTGGTATAGGCTGATCTTTTTCTTGCTTGGGGAGGGGGGCGACGGTTGGGGGCCTGTCTTCGTCGTGCCAGCCGGGGACAGCCCTCGTCCCGTCCTACTACCTAGTAAGAGCCTTCCCTTGCGCGAGGGGGAGGGTAGGGTAATGCATCAGGTAGTGTACAGCTTAGGGGGTCTCGCCTAGATGGTGATGGGTGATGGGGTGATGTTATGTTATGCTTCTTGGAGAAGCGGGGGAGGGGGGAGGGCTCTCCTTCTCTGCCGGTTTGATGATACTCTGGGCGGGGCGTGCTTTTGAGGGAAGGGTGCATGGGTCGAGGATGTCTTTGGCGCATCTTGTTCAGAGATGGGCGGGGCTCCTTGAAAATAAAGGAGTTCGATTGAGAATTAAGGTAATCGAGTGCTTAAGAAACGACAAGCTGGGATTCAGGAGAGTTTATTCGACAAGGAAGAACAGAGTACGCTAGATTCAGGTTGAAAAAAGGGGAGACATGAAGAAGGTATGAGTTACGGTACACTTGCAATTGGGGTAGTATCAGTATCAGTATCAGTATCAAAAAATCCCTGTGGTAAATTCACAGTGAAAACGTGGATGCAGTGGAAGCTGAAAGAGAAGAGAAGAGAAGAGATACAAAGGAAATCAAGACAGATTCGCTCACTCAAGGTGTTAACATGGGAGTATTCCAGGAGCAACGAACGGCCAAAGGGGAAACCTGAACACCGGGTCCTGGCCGGCAAGCTGAAAACTATGGTCTTTAGGATGCATGGCGGCGGCCTGAGGGCTAAGGAGACAAAGTGACTCCTGGTTTTGTGGGAACTGAAATCGTTGCTCAAAGTGAATAGAAGTAAGGGCTTGAAGGGTTGGAATAGAATAAGATTTAGTATGAAGCGTGTTTTAGGAGAAGTGTGGGGAAAGTTAGAGAATTTTTTTGGAGACTAAGATTCTGGGAAAGCGTCCAGAATCCGAATCATCTCCTTCGCTCGGGCCGGGTCTTCCACGAGCATATTGCGTTGCTCCATGACCATGGAGAGTGCGTCAACAACTTTGTTGAAGGAGGACGCTGCTCCCCTTTCTTGTCTGAAGCGGACAAGACTGAGGTTCTCTTGTCGGCCGTGTTCGAGATAGGTGCAGAATTCAGCGGAAAATTGGACAGGTCGGAGGCGGAGGACTGTATGGGCGTCGCCAGATTAGTCCAACTCCATCGAGGCCAGGATACGGTTTGAGTCAACTTACAGTTCGCTTCACCGACGGTAGCATAAATGACACGTCTATCACGGTCGAGGTGGACATCCTGCATGCCATATTTCTTCCAATCCCTGAGGATTCTGTGAACGTCCTTTCGAGCTTTCGTGGTGGACGTGTTGAGTGCCACGACTCGAGTCGCGGGCTTGAAGTGGAACACTCGGGCAAACCAGTTTTGGCTTCTGCCTGGATTGGGCGGCCTGTCTGGGAGGGCCTTGCTGTTGCTGTCACTGGCATCAAAAGTGTGCTCAGGCTGCTGGGGCTGTTCCAGCAACTGGTCTGTTTCTACGCTTTCGGGTTCTATGGCTGTTAACTGCTGTCAGCAAGAGCTATGGAGCGTTGAGGGCAAGAAAACTCACCTGATTCCCGGCTCTGTGCACTTTTGCTTGTTCGCCGGTTAATCAGTCTTCTAAAAAATCCTGTCTTCGCTTTGGAGGGTGACTGCTTCTCAGTCGAGCTGGATTCGCCATGTGTCGCGAAGAGATCCGTTGGCGGATGGACCTCATGTCGTATCACGGTTTCTGAGCTGGGTTGTATCGGACGGATATGTGCCGAGTGTCTGGACCCCTTTTCGATGTTAGAGGTGTTGTACTTGTTGGGGAGCCAGGACCATTTCCTGTTGTCTGATGTTCGAGTGGCGTTGCGCCTAGGCGATCCAGGATTCTCCGCGATAGGATCCAGCTCGCAGGGGATGCGGCTGTGACGAGAATTCACGGAGGCAAATCGTCTGGTAGGTAGGGACCCCTGATCATTGTCAGGGGTCATCTTATATCCATCAAGTGACTGCCGTGTTTCCTGTGGAAGTACGGCTTGGCTCTTTTGAACCGGTAGGTGCCTGGACGGTTCAATTGACTGGACTGAGCTCTGAGGCACCATGCGTATTGTCCGCTTGCCGTCCCGGCTTGTACGGCTAGCAGCGTAGTCGACATTTTTTGGCTGAGGAGCAGCCGTTCTTTGGCCGTCGGAGGGGACTATGACGCTGTTGCGTTTGCTGTGGTGCCCAGTTTGGTTCGGAGGCCGGCCGAAGGTGTCAGCAGAAGCAGTAGAAATGGGACGTGCTGATTCGGGTCTGTCACGTTGTCGAAGTTCATCCTGCTCAATCAGCCTATCGAGGTGGCCTATTACGGCGACTAAGTAACCAGGAATATCTTCATTCCCGCCCTTAGTAGAGTGCTCGATCAGCCTACGTCGAGTTTCAGCTAACTCTGCAACTGTGTAGGGCTTTGGTGATGAGACGGGAGGCAGTGGCTTTGGCCGACTGTTGGACGTCTTCGACTTTATTGTTTGTTCCGAGGCTTCAGGGCTGGTCATGGACACTGAGGTTGCAGGGGTTTCCGATCCAATGCAAGTGCTCGTATTCGTGCACGCGGTGGAAAGTGAACTACCGTTGAAAGCTTCCTCACAGATTTGGCTCAGCTCGTGGGACACCTTCCGCGCATCCTCCTTCCAAGTGAAGTCAGTAGTTCGCAGCTTCTTCATTTGAGGGCAATTCTTGATCGTCACACCCGCACTTCGAACGACGGTTGGCTGAGCCGGAAGCGTCGGACTGCCATTAGTATCTGTAAACGGATCGTCTTCGAACTCAGATACCAAACTCGCGTCACTGGAATTTGCTTTGATCTCCCGGGTCCTAACCCGCGCGGTCTTCGTCCTGACCGAAACTGATCCCTGGGAGCGACTTCGAGCATGGTGAAAACAAACGTTACGCTTGTAACTCGCCGATCGCGGCGTCGGAGTGCCATACAGAGCTCGTCGAGACGCTTGTGAGGCTCTGGACTGAAACGACTTCATCGATGCGACTTTCAGTCTCTTTCTGTGGCTCACTATAAACGGCGAGCTTGGAGGGCAGTCTATTTCCTGGCATGATGACTCCTGGGCCACCGTTTCTGGCACTAGAGGCACGGGGGGTTTCTTCAAGGTCTCGACTTCGTCGATGCCGTTCCGGTAGATCGTGATTTGCGCAAATTCGGCCTCCTTCAGCGATATGTTGTGCTTTGGAGATCGGAACGGATCATAACTCTCTACTGTGGCACAAGACATCGGCTCTCTGATTGATCTTCTGGTTCGTATGCCTGTCTCTTTGACCGACGCCTGGGATTGTTTCCTGGAGTGGTACTTGGCATGACTGTTTCGTTTGTAGGCACTGCGCTCTTCCACTCGCGATATATGATGATAGTCGCTGGCAGAGTACTCCAGGGCTTGGCCTTGGTAGTTTTCCAGCTGCTCGTTCCGGAACTTGACCAATGCATTGTAAAACATTCGCTCGTGGGTAGGTCTGAAGTTGTATAACAAGTCAGTCTAGGGGTCACTGCTAAGTAATGATACCAAGGATTGACCTACTCAGGACACAGAATTCTCTCGATCAGAACCTCTTGGTGAACATCATGCCATAATGTTTGAAGGTTCCTTAACAAATCAGGGTCAACGTCCTGTCTATGAGTGATAGGTTCACCACACTCATCGAAGGACAAGGGCGGAGCGGGTCCCACGTAGTGATTCGCCATCGCTTGGTGGAGCTTCTCATATTTCTTCAACAGAGGATGCGCCCATATTCCTTGCATGTTAATTCGTTCTTCGGGTCTTTTCTGCAGGATCCGCCTGATGAGATCAGTAGCCTCGAGACTCACTTCGGGCGGTATTTCAAATTCTGCTTTTTTGACCAGGCGCAGGGTATTGGACAGATCGCCTCCATCGAAGGGAAGGAAGCCAGTTAATAGCGCATACAAGATAATGCCGCAGCTCCAGATATCTGCCATATCCCCACGATACCTCCGGCCATAAATGATTTCCGGAGCAGCATAGTGCGGACTACCACAGGACGTATTCAGCCATTGATTCATGGGCTGAAGAGCGGCCATCCCGAAGTCAGCCAGTTTGACATTATGCCAGCTGTCTAGCAGGATATTCTCGGGTTTGAGATCGCGATGGCAGATGTTGAACCGATGGCAGTAGCCGAGGCCTGCGATGATCTGCCGGAATAATCGCACTGCCTCTTCTTCCGGTAATGGACCATGCTTCTGCACGTACTCGAACAACTCTCCTCCTTCGACGTACTCCAGAACGAGATACCTGGTGAAGGAAAGTTAGCAATCAAGCAGACAAGCAGACTTGCTGTACCTACAATTCGCCCCGATTCTCCCAGACATCATATAGACTGATCACGTTCGGATGCTCGATGAGCTTCATGATCACCACTTCTCTCTCCAGTCCTGATGGAATATGCCGCATGCCAGTTCCGCCAAAGTGACCTGCTTTCCGATCCATTCCCGCAATACTCTCACTCTGCGTCATTGCTGCCGACTTCTTCGACACGATCTTGATCGCTGCCGTCTGACCAGTGAGTGCATGCTTCGCCCATCTCACCCGACCACTTGCGCCACTCCCGAGAGTCTTCCCTAACTGCCATGGTCCAACATGCGTTTTGCGCTTTCCTCTGTTGGAGGCGGTGGATGTGGCCGAAATAGTCGAGTGTCGGTTTGTTGCAGCCCGTGAATCGGCCACGGGGGTCGCGTAGTTCATCTCCGCATCGGGTTTGGTCGACAATGGACTGGTCACAATCGACATCGGCATTGGCGAGGTAGCTTGGTAGTATCGTCCTTGCTTCATCTGCTCCTCCTTGTCTTCTCTAAGGCTTGGGTATCTGTTGATTCTTGTTGTAGCATCCATCAGTGGGGTCCGCATCATCTGAGGACTCAGGTAGATTTGATTATTCTCGTCCATCTCCCCCCGTGTACCCGATTTAGCACTGCGAGATGACCTGCCTCAGGATTGACATTTCAATATGATTCTGAGTGTAATTCTCCGAGACGTCAATCTGGTCGATCAGGGGAAGGTAGATCCTCCTGACTTGCGCGTGTGAAGTTCAAGCACAGTGAGACACGGACTGACGCGAGGTGTTCAGGTCACGTATTCGAGACGGCAAGATGGGGTCTTGGGGGACTGATCACGTCGGCGTCTGTGTCTGACTTGTGAGTGATTCAAGCGGGTCGAAGTGGGTGAGTGTCGCGTGCGTACGAATGTTTGGTTGGTAAATTTCCCGGTCGACTGTCGTCTAGCGAAACCTCGTGTAGCACATGTGGGATGACGACCACGACGCGACTTTCGGACGATGATGCAGGCGGCGATAACGGTAGGTAAGTGAGTGGGTGAGTGGGCGTGCAGCGTGACGACTGTTGTTACCATCGATGATGATGTTGGGGGGGGGGAAGACAGGGCAGGCACTCGACAGTATACATTGCAATGTGTGTGTGCCAGCCAACTTTTCGCTGAGGCGCATGCCCCCGGGGCACATTACTCGAAACACCGGAAAAGCCAAACAAACACAGGCCTATTCACTTGGTCTGGAGCATACCATGCAGAGGCAAAGTCCGTGGAATGACCAATAGGTTGTGTCTGGTTTGATGGTGGATTCTTCTTGATTGGTTGGTATTGCCGCAGAACTGGGTGGAATGCAGCCTCTGGCCAATTCTCGAGGCTTAAATTGAAGAGATCACTGGAGGTATTGCACAGCATATTGAGTGCTGAGTTTGGCGAAGTGGCTTGATCGCTGGGTTGTCTACTGTCACTCTATGATACGAGTTACTCGCGCATAGCGAGTTGTTCTGTCGAATCTTCGTCGGTGGAAAGCCTCACTCTACCTAGTAGTTGGAGGTCACCCACCATTCGCACCCTACTGATTATTTGGTCATTCCTCCAGAACTCCCAGTGAGCTCACTTCAGACGAAGAGGGGGGAGGAAAAGTCTGAGTGTTCATTTGGGAGTTGCTTGCACATTCCAGAGGTCTCTCCCTTCGTTCCCTACAACCAGGGGTGCCAACTCATGATTGGAGAATAACAACATCGCTGGGATACATACCAACAATAAATCCAATTGTGTCGCTCCACCTCCTTCATAATACTGCTATGAAGCTTACAATAGGGAAACTTGTGCTTTCTTGAATTTACGTCCAGATGAGGGGTAATGCGCCTTCGAGCAGGCGCCCTTTCACTCATCCAATCGGAGTTCTACTGCATGCATGGACTGAACGTGCACCGCCAAATCTGCTGGGGGGGTTACTGACAGCTCCGAGAAGAAACAATCGCGCATGCAAAATCCGTGCTCGCGGCCGCGGGGGTAATCGGCCCTGTTGCCTATCCAAGCCCCCTGGTCAATCATATTACTCAGTATAGATAACATCTCATAAAGACGTTGAGACATCACCTAATCTGGGCCGTCTGCGCATATCCGCGTCACTACCAATGCTCCTCTCCTATCTCCGCCTCTTCAACATCCACCCCATCCACAAACCACCTACCCTCCCCATTCCCATCAGGCCCGATCAAGACATCGTTCCCACTCATCATCCGCTTACGCATCTTCCCCGTCTCGCGGTCGAAGGTCCAGTCCTCCAGCCCGTAGCAGCGCTTCCAGCGCAGCCCATCGTCCGCGTCCTGGAACTCGTACCAGAACTGCACGGCGATCCGGTCGTCCGTGAACGAGAACAGCTCCTTCCGCAGGCGATAGCTCTGCTCGCGCTTCCACTTTGCGGTCAGGAACTCGACGATGTCCGCGGTTCCGGCGAAGAATGAGGTGCGGTTGCGCCAGATGCAGGTTGGGGTGTAGGCCTGCGCGACTCGGACGGGGTCTCTGGGCGGTATGTAAGTACAGGAACACTAGTATCTACGCTGAGGCAATGTTTCTTGCATGAAGTTGGGCGCAAAGTTCTCGTCTGAAGCACATTATCTTGGGTTTCGGTTGGCAAGATGATGCTGCCCTTGACGTAAAGATCAAGAGTGAAGGAAAATCCTCTGATGCAAAAGCAGAAGATGAGAAGGGGCAAGCCTCAAACCCTACGAGGCAGGCTGCAGAGAGATGGAAGGGGTGGGATGAGTCTCCCTCAATTTTCGCAAGCAAGGGGGAAGGGGTGGAAAGCAAATGTGTATGTATGCATGATGATGCGACTCCCTTCATGCCTGCGTGGGCGTTCTTCTGACAAGAGTGGAGCGATCCCAGGTATGACACCGTTTGGTTCACCACAGAAAAAGCATCTTGCCAGCATCTTGCCTACTATACAAGAAGCCCCCGAGGGTGAAACAAAAACAAAGGGCATCATTAATTCGAGCCCTACCGACAGCTGGGACCAAACGTACTGGGAATTCCACAGGTTCTGGGCCGCTTTGACCTTCTTGCGAGCAGATTCCTCGGTGAATGGTGGCTTGATGTCGGCCATTATTTTTGGTAGTTTGATGAGCTTGTTTTTTTGTGTTTTTTGTGCTGGGATGTCTTGGGATAAGAGATTCGTGGTTGATGAGGAGCACTGCTTATACTTCTGGAGGAGGTTTGTTGTGGTTGACTCGTGATGACGCTTGTGGTCATGTGATCGTGCTACGTTGGCTGGCTTTGTTTTGCTGGGTCTGGATGTCAGATTTTAGTCGGTGTTTAGTGAACTTGCTAATTCGTTTGGGGTAGACGGGTCTACTACGTAGAGATGGATGATAGGGCCGTAGAGTTCTGATTAGCTCTGCAAAGTGAGATGAGGTAGTAAAATGGTGATTATCTACGTGTAGAAAGGTTGTTGCTTGCCGCCCGCCTTATCTGCCCGCCAAATATATATCACGCAATTATATAGTAGCATCAGCATGCATCAACCTCAATTCAATGGCAAAAGTGAACCCAGAGACTCCAAGGATCGGGATTCGGTCACTTCATTTAGCTAATAGAGATCTAGTTACTTATTATCATTCAAAGCATTTTAGTTTCTAGGAGTTGCTCAAATATAATCACGGCAGGCGCGGACGGGGCCGTCGGTACAGCGTGGACTGCTGCCTGCATGGATGCGATGCAACTATAGGCTAGCGCATACGACCGGACACTACTCGCCGTCGACGTATATATTACTCTGTGCTAGCAACGAAATGTCAGCCCATGACACACGAAGATTTATCCTGTTTTAACATCTGAGTGCGCGGGTATTTTGCTCGAGAAAACCGGCTGGCAACCCTTTCCATCACATGATGATGCATCATCCCTCGAGGAAACCGAACGACTATCTTCCTATCCCTCAGTTCCCCATCCCACCATCGCCATCAAGCTCGTCACGATTCGCAAAACGAGCCATCCATGCCCTCCTTCTCTTACTAGTCGGAGCCGTGGCTCTGTCCCAATTCCACCTGGACCTCCTCCGACCGAAGTGCACCAAGCCCCATCATGGCTCTCCCCATGCCGATAAGAGCCGTACTTTCAGCTGGGACCAAGTAACTATACCCCACACTTTGGTTCGATCCGCATCCTTACGAGACACAGGGCTAACCAAACCAAACCAGATCACGCCCACCAAGCACCTCATCTACCACCCCTGCTTCGACGGCCACGAATGCGCCCGCCTCGCACTCCCCATGGACTGGAACCGCACCGACACCCGGGGAGCAGCGCAGATCGCACTGGCCGTGATCAGGCGCCCCGCCAAGGTCCCCGTCACCGATCCGCGATACGGCGGACCGATCCTCCTGAACCCCGGGGGGCCCGGTGGTTCCGGGGTGAGTATGCTCCTCAAGCGCGGGCGGCACATCCAGACCGTGGTGGACGCGTCGGCGCAGCCGGCCGCACCGGGTGTGCACCCACCACCAGACGAAGGAAAGTTTTTCGACGTGGTCAGCTTCGATCCCCGCGGCGTCAATAATACCACCCCGCCGTTCTCGTGTTTCCGCGACTCGGCCGCGCGGCGCGCGTGGAAGATGCAGGTCGAGGCGGAGGGGATTCTGGGGAGTTCGGATGGGGTGTTTGATGCGCGGTGGGCGCGGCATGGGGCCTTGGGGCTTACTTGTACGCAGTCGCTGGGGGGTGCTCTGGTAGGAGAGGAGGGGGATGAGGAAGCGGAGAGCGGCGACTGGATAGGACGGTTCATGAACACCCCGACTGTGGTTGCGGATATGGTCGAGCTCATTGAGCGGCATGGCGAGTGGCGAGAGCGCGAGACGGCGAGAATTCTTGGCGAGAGGGGCTCGCTGGAGGGGGTTGTCGGCAGCAGTGAGGTAGAGGCAAAGGCAAAGGCGATCCTCCGGCGCAATCGCTGGGTGCCGGGCCAGGAGAAGCTGCAGTACTGGGGGTTCTCGTACGGGACGGTCCTGGGATCCACGTTCGCCGCGATGCAGCCCCATCGCATCCACCGGGCGGTGATCGATGGCGTGTGCGACGTCAACGACTACTACGCGGGCGGCTGGCTCACGAACCTGCAGGATGCGGACGTGGCGTGGCTGTCGTTCTTCGAGCTCTGCAACGCCGTCGGTCCGGAGGTGTGCTCCTTCGCCTCCGGGCAGGGGGGTCTGCAGGCGACGATCGATCGCTACGAGAACCTCCTGACCACCCTCAAAGCGAACCCGGTCGCGGTCCCGGCGTCTGGGGACCGCGGCCCGGACATTATCACCTACAGCGATGTGAAGATGTTGGTCATGCAGGGGGTCTACACGCCGATGGAGTCCTTCGAGCGCGTGGCGCGGTTCCTGACGGACCTCACTCACGGGAATGGCTCCGCGTTTGCGGAGTACAAGCAGCGGGAGCGCCAGGACTGGCGTCGGACGCCCCCGTGTGATCCCTCTGGTTCCAAGCCGTGTATGGTTCCCGGGGAGAATACCGATGAGGCGCAGATGGGCATCCTATGCTCCGATGGGCAGGATATTCGCGGGATCGACAAGGAGAAGCTCAGGGACTACTGGCATACGCTGCGTAACCAGAGTAAGACCGTGGGGGACATCTGGGCTGAGATCCGCTTCACCTGCATCGAGTGGAAGGCAAGGCCTGCATGGCAATTTGAGGGTAGACGCATTGTTTGTTACTCGGATTGTTTATCGAAATCTGACGTATTCTACTAAGGCCCAATCGCCGGGAACACATCTCATCCGCTGTTGTTTGCGGGAAACACCTACGACCCAGTCACGCCTCTCCGGAAGTCAGTTCGCTCTTTTCTCTCTCTGTGCCTGTTAGGATGCAAAACTAACGGAACTCTTGCAGTGCATTCACGATGTCGAAGCAGTTTCCCGGGTCGGTTGTACTACAGCAGAACTCAGTGGGAGTAAGTGCCCTAGATTTTTTGGTTGTCATGATTTTACCTACAGTGGTGGCAAACATACTGATACTCAACGTCTTGTTCTGCAGCATTGTACCTTGAGCGGTCCGTCGTTGTGCTCGGCCAAGGTGATCCGAGAATACTTCCAGACAGGCGAGCTCCCCAGTCATGGTAAGGTCTGTGAAGTGGAAGAAAAGCCTTTCCATGTTCCCGGAGTGCAGCAAAGCAGCGGGTTGTCGGCTGCCGATCTGTCCTTGCTCTCTGCTTTGCGCTCGCTGGCGCAGGAGGAGAGGTCTTTCATGAGGGCTCCACCACTGAGCTCTTTCTGAATCTGATGTTGGATTATGCTGGGATGGTTGCTCAAATTCGGGTGGTCTGAAGACCGCGCTTGGTTTATCATGGCCCCATGGTCAAACCACTTTGACCCTGTACATTCGCTTACATATGCCACTGTAAATAGGCTGGCTCTGCCTGGGAAGCACATCCATCAACGCTTGTAGTGATAGCCCCATAAGCATAGTAGGTCTATCTTAACGTTCAAGACGAAATCGGCACCATTGATTCATCTTGGCCCGGGGTTCCTGCATCTAGACACGATTTCTTAGTGGTTCTGGGCGCTGTGTGTAAGCACGTATAGACGAGTCCCTAATTATATCAGTGGCGATATGTCTTTCCTTCTAGAACCCAGATGCTGTATAAGCATAGTGGAGACAGTTGCCCCGGACTTCGACCTGCCTTAGATAATCAATCGGCTGGGATGTGAAGCCCGAGACCCGGTTTATTGTGCATGAGCGAGCATCAAGCACTAAGCTCTACATAATCAATCAGTCGTTGCGTAGTGATCTTGACCATATTCAAAGGGTCCAGGTAGTCCCGAAAGATCGCGTATTCGCAGCCACCGTTACTACGGACCGTCGGCAAGCAGCGAAACTTCTTATCAGATTCGTACCTTCTGACCCGCAGAATCAGCCTCCCTGCGGCAAAGAATCTCAATTGACTTCCGTGGCGAGTATGACACAAAAATGCCTGTTAACCCACGGAACCAATTCTCTTCTATTTTTTTCGGTGGTACGGAGTACAGTCCTTGTGATGGGTAGACCAAGCGTTGCCTCGGAACCAGGGGTGTTTTGATCCGGAATAGTGGCGGGGAGGGGGAGGGAAGCCCCAAGGTTCTCGGGGCTGGTTACGTAGTTGGCGGGTCTTTGGCGGTGAGAAAGCCGACAAGCCGTAGAAGATTCCATCCAGCAACAAACGCCGTGGGCAGTAGTTGATTGGGTTGAGATTCGCCTCGGAGATCCACAGTCCTCGCCATTTTGGCTGTCCGCCAATGAGCGCGCCCTCTCGGGAGTAGTGGGATCGTCTCAACGGCCTCCTGCAGGGCCGGGGTCTGGGACTCTGTATAGGTACCTGAGGTAGCTGGTGAGAGCGATACTAGGTAGGGTGGTGCCAGTCCGAGAGTTGGATTTTGTGATTAGTATTGGGAGGATGATGGCTGTGTTCTTGTTGTGAAGGGGTGTCTACCGAGTGAGACTGCCGTGGCAATTTGTCGGTTTATCCGGGTATATGTAGTTGTTTTGTTCGACCGAGACTCAGCTGTTGGACGTTTCTGATTGTTGTTTCGGTACCGGATACTATCATATGAACTGATAATGGAACTCATGGTTTAGATAGTGCTGTCAATGCATCTGAGAGTCAGTCTGAGGTGTCATGAAGACGATCCGAGTGGGGGAATAAGTTCCGCCTGCACTGTCTATCAGACTTACTATCCACTCGGCCTGTAACCCGGTCGAGACTCCGAGATATTCACAGTATGGCTCAAAGATGAGTTGAGCACATTGTCAGCTGAGTCATACGGTAGTAGAGCCCCTGAGCAGTGAGTATAAAATTGAGTGTTATCAATCAGCATCCCGATCTAGACAATGATGCTGAGGGAGTGGACGGAGGTGGATTTGTCACGGAGGACGGTCTAGATAGCAGAGATATCGGCGGTGGAGAGGAGGGGCAATTGGCGGGGCTCTCCCAAGGCTCAGTCTCGGGCGGTCTTTCTTGATAATACACCCCCCCTTCAGTATTCACTGTAAGGATCCAATTGATTCGGTATCTTTCTGCTTCGGATCACCTTATGGCGCCTTAGACGGGCCGTCGCTGCCGTATCGTCGCGTTAATTCGCTGGCCTGCCAACAGGCACGCCTTCCGGCAGGAACCATCCATCCATCCAGCAGCATATATTAACCCGCCACGGGTTCCTCCCTCCATCTGTTCTCTCTTCCTTCTTCCCCTTTCTCTTACGTACTTAAACCAATCTCCAGCCCACTTCTTCCAATTCATCAACAACTCTCTCACTTTACTCTTCAACCCACCTTCCACACACAAACCAATCCATCACAATGTCTGGCCTCAACCCCGGTGACAGCTTCCCCTCCGACGTCGTCTTCTCGTAAGTTTATCTTATTTTTCTATTCCCTTTCTGGTCTCGCCTGCACGAATATCTCTGGCAATTCTTCGTTGCCACTGCACTGCTATCAACATTACAACAATTCCACTGACTTGCCTCTGCTTGATAGCTACATCCCCTGGGCTGAGGAGAGCAAGGAGATCCAGGCTTGCGGTATCCCCATCAACTACAACGCCTCCAAGGAGTGGGCCGACAAGAAGGTCGTCCTCTTCGCCCTCCCCGGTGCTTTCACCCCCGTCTGCTCTGCTCGCCACGTCCCCGAGTACGCCGAGAAGCTCCCCGAGCTCAAGGCCAAGGGTGTCGACGTTGTTGCCGTCCTTGCCTACAACGATGCCTACGTCATGAGCGCCTGGGGTAAGGCTAACAACGTCACTGGTGATGATTTCGTAAGTTCTTCGTCTTCCACTGCTCCATTGAACTTCAACTGACAGTTCACAGCTTTTCCTTTCCGACCCCGAGGCCCGTTTCTCCAAGAGCATCGGCTGGGCTGATGAGGAGGGCCGCACTGGCCGCTACGCCATCATCATCGACCACGGCAAGGTCACCTACGCCAAGCGCGAGCCCGCCAAGAACCACCTCGAGGTATGTTGAGCTTCTTGATTCGGTGGGATAAGGAAAATGATAACTAACGTTTGTCACAGTTCTCGAGCGCCGAGACCATCCTTAAGAACCTGTAAATGCACCAATTTCCAATACTATAGAGGTTGCATGGGCTTGATAGATGGCGTTGACCTTTAGCTTTGTGGGATAATGACCTGGAATTAAGGCAAACTAAAAGTCATATTAGAAAGAGCTAGATTTCCCACTAGATAGTTGAAGAATCTCAACGCATTACGATGCTATGAAATCAAAACTTGATCCATTGTAACTTTGGGTGAATGATGTCAAAGAGTGAGTCTTTGAGTGGTCGTCGTAGAAGGCGTAACAAGCAGGCCGGTGTACACAGAAGCTGTACAAGAATTTGTAGAGACGATACCAAGCAAACAATTAGCTTGCAATGATCTACATGATTTAAAGCCCAAACCTCCCAAGCGTTTAGATTAAGTTGTTTGAAGAGTGAGCCCCTCCAGTGGCTGTCATTGGTGGGTGCCTTTTTGTGTGTGTGGCTGTTTTGGCCGGCGCGGCGGGAGCGTGACTTGCGCTAAACCTTTCCATGTGCCGGTCATGCATCATGGATTTGTTCCCATTCCATCATTATATCTATCATTGACAAAGTGACCAGGCAGGGATTGGAGAGGGAGAAAAAAAAATAAAAGAGCTTCACCCAAACCCCCTGCACCTGAATCCTTTCCTCATTTCTCTGAGACGGTCACCTTTAATCTCTAATCCTTCCCAGACTCTTTCCAAATCATACGGATGGCCCTCAATCCGCCCTCGAAGCGCACGGCGGCGGCCGTGGCGGCGGGGAGCAGAAACAATAACAACAGCACCAGCAACCGCAATGGCAACAACAGCAACCACCACAACAACAGCGGCTTCTCAGCGGCCGCCGCCCGCAAGCGCGCCAAAACCTTCGACGCCCGGACCCTGGCCGTGCAGACCTCGGACGCGGCCCTGTCCGTCTCCGGCGAGCTGGACGTCGCGGCGTACGTCGAGGCCCGGGAGTTCGAGATCCGGTCGCTGGAGGCCGGGATGCAGCGGTCGCGGGCGGCGTTGACGAGCCGGGCGTTCCAGAAGGTGCCGCGGGCGTTGCGGCGGCGGACGGCGAGCCATAACGTGAAGAGGGTGCCGAGGCGGTTGAGGGCGCGGGCGAGGCGAGAGGTATGTTCCTTCTCCTCTTGGAGGAGGTCATCTTTTGGGGTTTTCTAAACGTTCTGTTTCTTGGCTAACCATTCTGGATTTCTGGTGGCGGGGCACAGATGCTCGAAGACAACACCCCGACCGTCAACTCGCGCACCCGCAAACCCACCGAACAGATGCGCATCCGTCTCGAGACGGCGCGCCGCCTACAAGGGTTGAACCGGCGGACGCAGGCGAAACGAGTGCAGCGGCGGGCGCAGCGGGCGGCTGACCTCAAACACCAACTGAAGGAGGGGGATGCTGCAGCTGCAGGAGCGCAACCGCACGCGTTCGACATCGCCCCGCGCGTGCCCAAGATCAAGAAGAACCGACTCTCGCGCCCCGCGCCGCCGGAGGCCCGGTTCCGGAAACGTCAGCGCTGCAAGACCTGGTTGCCCACCCATATGTTTCATGCTAAGCGGGCGAAGATGACTACTTCGCTGGATCCGTTGTGGCGGTTTGCCGTGCCGTTGTCGCCGACGGAGAAGAGTTATCGGCCTACGCATCGGGCGAGGGGTATGAGGGGCTGTGTGGCGTGGGATTTGAGTTATATGGCGACGTTGCAGTTGGAGGGCACGGGGCCGGCGGTGGAGGCTGTTTTGAGGGGGTTGGGGGTTGATGGGGATGCGGGGCGGGGTGCTTGGGGAGTCAAGGGGAGGAAGTGGAGGGAGGGGAAGAGAGGGTTACGGGCTTGGGTGTTTGAGGCTGCGCTAGGTGAGGGGGAGAGTAGGAGGCCAATTGCGGAGGTTATGTTGGTGTGGTGTGCTGCTGGGGCTGCGGGTGGTGAGGGCCGGGACGTGGAGATGTTGGATGCTGATGCTGATGCTGGGAAACAAAAGACGAAGCAGCAGCAGCAGCAGCGCAAGAAGCTCTGGATCCGTGTTCACCCGTCGGCTTTCCTGCAGCTGTGGAATGAGGTGCTGGTAATCTCGAAACAGCAGAACCCGCCTGTCATGGTCGAGGATCTTCGATTCGAGATTGGCAGTATTGAAATCACTGGCCCCGGGTCAATGGAGGCGTTGATCGCTTCCCTGAAACCGGTCGTCGCTGATGGCAAGCCTTTCGCACAGAATAGCCCGGAGGCTACCTGGAGCTCCTTGTTGGGGGTGTCCAATGCTGCTTCGTTACCGAGAGAAGCGCTGCTCGCCTTCTCTGTCTCCGATCCCCGATTGTGCCACCCTCCAAAGACGTTGAAGCCTCCAACATCCGAGGGTGATATGCAGGATCTGGCGGTTTTGCTCTCTGACTGGCACCCGGATCGTACCCAAACGGCTCCGGCTCTTTTTGATCGCCGTGCGCGTCTGGCCGCTGCGCGTCTGATGCCGAGCCAGAAGGCCATCAACCGGCGACGCTCAGCAGCTGGGCCGGGAGAAATTCCTCCAGCGAAGGAGACGGATCCGCAGATCCCTGTTATCGTCCTTGCGTGCCGATCGACTGCGCAATCGAAGGACAACAACGCTCCGGGTAGCTGGACGATCCTGCTCCCTTGGAAATGCGTTCCCGCCGTCTGGTACAGCCTGATGTACTACCCTCTGTCAAGCGGAGGCATCCCCCGATTCGGAGGTCTCAAAGAGCAGCAACAGTTGGCATTTGAATCCGGTGAACCCTGGTTCCCCGGCGACTACCCCGGAACCCGTGCCGGGTGGGAATGGGGTCTGCGTGAGCGAGAGGAGGCGAAGAAGGCATGGGAGCGACGGCCCAAGGGGCGTCGAGTTGAATTCGACTCTCTGGATCTGCGCAATGGTCAGAAAGGCGAAATCGGTCGAGGTTGGGCATGCGATTGGGAAAGACTCGTTCAGGGCCCAGCCAAGGCCGCCGAGGATGCGCAGCACACGGACAAAGAGGCGGATGCCACTATGAAGGATGATGCTGCTGCTGATGATGGTGCTACTACAATCCTCCCGCCGCTGAACATCCACCAACTCTCGTCATCACAAGCATCTCGCGCACTGAGTGATCGATCAGTCAGTGTTGACAACGCCACCCTCGCCACAGTTCGCATCTCCCTCGTCAGCCGCGGCACCCCGACTCCCCGAGCCCGCATCTACCGTCTCCCCACCAATGACCCTGACCTCAGACAGCGCTGGACCTCCCTCGCGTCGAAGGAGAGCGATCAAAGCAAACAGCCCCCCACCAAGACCACTACCGGCGGTGGCAAGCCGCTAAGCAAAGAAGACGCCCAACAGCGTCTCGCCGCATCACTCATAGCCCCCTGCGCCGATACCGTCGATGACCGCCAGACCCATCTCTCGCTCCCCACCGAGGATGATCTGATCGGGTTCGTCACGACGGGCAACTACAACCTGGCGGAGGGCAAGGGAACGGGGATCGGGTCGATTCAGATCATCAAGGTCCGGAAGAGCACCGGCCCCAGCAAGGACAAAGCGAAGGCGAAGAAGAACATGTGCATTGTTCGGTCTGCGGGGGAATTGGTTGGTCGACTCGGGTATTGGGAGCTTGTTTAGCTGGTCTGGGGATGTTTGTTGGAGGTAATGCTGTTCATGGTTGTATGTTGGTTGTATGTAGATGGGTTTCGGTTTTTCATGATACCCCCCCGCCCGCTCGGCAGTTTGTAGAGTGAATTTAGAGATGATGTGGGTGTTGAATGTCAATGATCCTGTGGGAAAGGTTGATTCTAGGCGGATGTTTGGGGTGTCCTGCGTAGGTTTTTTAAGTATGTTCCATGTCACGAAATATTGATAGAATATCGGTTGGAGTCTACAGTGTCCATAAGATAACTTATTGTGTATATTGGTAGAACTATTCTGCCGAAGCCACGCTCTTTATAAAGTATCTTACCGTAAACGGACAAGCAACTGCTTGAATCTATGTAGCAAGCACACAAGATAAAGCCCAATTTAACAGATGCGTACACAATCTTGACACAAGGCAAAAAAGCACAAGAATCGGATCTATTCATGAAGAACAACATAGCTAACACATACACACGCACTCACACAGCACTCACACACTTTACACAAACGTTGGTGGGCACATGCACCCTCCATCTCTTTCTCAATCCAAGCAACCGCACGCACATCGACTCTCCATTTTTGGGGACTAACCAACAATCCGATCCACAAACGCCTCCTCCATCTTCGCGACCTCGCGCTTGAAGCTCTCGACCTCCTTCCAGCAGTTCAGCGGCCGCCGGTCGTTCAACCGCAGACAGCCCACCACCTCCGCCCGGGCCTTCTCCACCTCCCCGTCCAGCTGCGCCAACCGCCGCCGGCCCTCGAGCCGGGCGCGCAGCTCCTCGATCTCCGAGTTCACCGAGTCCCGCGACACGTCCAGGTTGATGGGCTTCTGGGCTTCCGGGGCGGCGGCGGCGGCGGGGGTGGCCTCGCGGCCAGCGAAGGGGATGCGGGGCGCATCCAGGTTCAGGGAGCCCGGGGGGTAGGCGAGGTTCGGGGTGGCTGTGGAGGAGGATGTGGAGGGAGAGGTGGCGGTGTCTTTGACTTCGGCGAGGCGCTTCTCGATCTCCGCGAGGGTCTGCTGTTCGCGGGCGCGGAGGCGTTCGAGTTCTTCCGAGACGCGCGCTTGGATCTGGAGTTCGAGGGCTTTGGCGCGGGAGGAGTCGGTCTTTTTTTGGGGGGGAGGCAGGAGTTAGTATGATTGGCCTCTGAGAATGTGAATGGGATGGGGGGGAGATTGAAACGTACCTCGGTGTTGTTCTGGAGGGACTCAACTAGGTTGGAGGAGAATTGGACGGGGGAGTTGCTGGATTGGAGATTATGGTCAGCTTCGCTTTGGTTCGAGTTGATTCAGGCGCCATTGGAAGTCATGAATGAGACTGCAGGGTTGGTGTTGGGGTATGTTGTTTCCCGGGTGGAAGGGCCGTGACGATTTCGTCACTTTTGGCTCCCGAACCCATTGGGCCGCGAAATTGAGCTATTCTTGTTCGCTCCGCGCATAGGTGTAGGTTGAAGATATACAGAAGCACGATGCAGGCGAGCTGCCTCAGCTTAGAGGTTTACGTACCTCGTGAAAACGTGTGTCGAGCCGGCCGAGGCCTCGGGCTTGGAGCTGCCGGCGCCCATGATGTGATGAATTGAGGGGTGTGTTAGGGA